CTAAATTAGGGACGGCTAGCGCAGATAGCCCTCGTGTAGCTTTGCGCGAAATTCAAAACCAAAAAAAAAAACTCTTCAGATGTACAAGTGTTACAATAGCTTACAACTACTACCGTGTTTCTTGTATCTCAGCCGGCCTTAAGAGCTCTGGATTCTTCTAATTCTTGAACAATACCTTAGGGGCTAGGTAAAAAAAACATAGCTTTGAAAAAAAAAGCTTAATATTAATGTATCATGACAAGTATAATTAATGCTGTATTGCTATATTATTATGCAATAAATCTTTGAATTAAAAAGACAATAATATTATACAATTATATATACAACAGGCAATATAAAGTATGAATGAATAAAAAAAGAACAATAAAACATATCTTTTTTAGTGTTTTCCTAAAGTTGTTGTTTAGTGCAAAACCACGCAATGGGCTACCTGCACGCTGTCCGCCTCTGGTAATCGAACCCCGTATGTTAACGTTGTAAGTCCTTAAACTTACTTCTGACCCATCGAGAGATTTTTTTTAAATTCCAATCTTTGTTTCTATTTAATCTTCAACATTTTTCTTTGTATTAAAATAGATTATTTTATCTAAACAATTATGTTCTTTAGTCAAACTTTCCGTTTCAGAGCAATAAAAAAAAATTCCTTTTGCTGAAGTTGTCGTAAAATAATTGAAGTATATTCATTTTTTTTGAAGGGCACTGGGAGGTGATACGCATGGCTATATGTTAATTAAGCTGGTATAGAAAATTTCGGTGAAAGGGACAATGGATATTTTATCGTTAACAATGGAGGGTTCAAAACAATGTTGATATCCGAAAGAAAGGCAGACTTGCACCATCAAAATAAGTGCAATATTGACTCGACTGTCCGCGTATACCCCGCCCACAGAATCAATACAAGATGTGGGCTCTTGTTCGTGCAGACTTTGTGCGGCGACTTCCACAATGCACAACGTTTCCTTGACAGCATCCCTGCTGATTACTTATAGGTTATGGGGTTTGCTGAAGGTTGTAGTAACTCAAGAACCATATATCAAGAAAAGAATGTCATTGCGATTGTTGGTAAAATTATATCTGGATGCAGTAATCAAAAATGAACAAAACAGCTCTGAAGAGTTGCTATAGTGGCGCCCCTCGTGTAATTTTTAGAAACTAGAGGAATACACATCTTATTCCGTATGCACGTACATAAAATATTCCGTCCTTTCGTTACTTGGTTTGTCAATAGACAGTTTCATACGTCTATAATAACTTTGAGTTTAAAACTACTCAGTACGTACAACGATCAACAAAGTGTAGGTGTGAAAAAGTAGAACAAAATCAGTATTTGTTATCATCAGTTAATATTGTTTTAAAAGGTGCCAAACTACGTATATTAAAATCAATAACGTTCGGATGACAAAACAACGCACAGAGAAAGTATATTTCTTCAACATAAATCAGTGCTTTTATTTTTTTGAGGGGGGGATGGAGATATGGTAATTTTTAATTTAACATAGAAGAATTGGATATGAACATAAACTTCGATTAACGCACTATTAAACTTAATAAACAGAGCTATTTTGAAAGGTTAGATAAAAGAAAAGACCATTAAGCTTAAAATGTCATGGGTTGCTATGGTGATTCACAGAAAACACGGAAATGTATACGTTTCTTTTATCGAAACGTTTGTAATATTGTTCACAAATAATGTTGTACTCGTTCATATTGTAATGAAACAGCGTTACCTCGTAATTAGCATTGTTGCCTTTATAACGGCTAGAGTCTCATTTTTATCATACGTTTCATAACGTTAAATATATATTTAAATCGCAGTAGCATAACTTTTATCAAAGTTTTCATTAAACAATACGCGTAGAGAAGGAAAGGCTATTTAAACATAATGTGTCATAAATGTTAACAAACAGGTTATCAAGAAGGCCATTAATTTAAAGATATTGATATAAAATATGGAAATGACATTAGCCAGATGATGATAATTCAGATGTATACACTCTTCTAATTATTGAGAATCCTTAAGAGATTAGATAAAGAATATAGTGTCTAAAATGTAATAGGCCTAATAGTAATGTGTTATGACAAGTATCGTTATAATCATACTTCGTCAGCTTGTAAAAGGCGTACACATCAAAACAATTGTATTTTATTTATTCCTGAATAAAGCTTGATTTCTGAGATAGATGCTATTTTTGACACTATTTTTCTTCCGAAATCTTTTAACAGGCCATGAAGCTTGAACTTGTTTTTGCAGTCGCTGTAATAAGCCTAATGGTCGTCATACCCGTAACTTCGTATAATGACGATCTACCCATCTACAAATGGAGTCCTTTGGTTTTTCGTGGTTTTAAGAAGAATGACTATGTGGGTTGAAAAAGTCTTGTTATATTTTTCGTCTAGCTATAATTTCATTAGTTTATCTATGAAATATTTTTCTCGTAAAATAAGGTTTAATGTAATTTTCTAGATGTTTCACCATAGAATACATTTTGTTACTCTATATTTTCCGTGTTAAAAAAATAAATTTAAGACAGAGTTTCATTTCTTTAGCAGCGTATTGAAACATTTCAGCGTTAGATAGATATCTTACTGTCGAACAATATGTTTTGAGTATTTTAAATCCATATTATTTTATAGTTTGTGAAAAAAGAAATAATAATATATTCTTCAGAAGTTCTGTGCGACTGAGTATACCGAATGTGGGCAGAAGAGAACCCAGTTTGGCTATCTAATCCGGCAGCCATGCTGTAAGGGTCTTATTTGCGAACAAGTTGGCCGACGACAGCTGTGTATAACACGGTGAGTAGTTCAGTAACACAACCTTATTAAAATCAATTTTGTTTTATTCAAAAATAAAATCAATTAAGAAACTCACCAATATTAGTTTTAAAACAAATTCGTGTGCGTGTGGAAAATGAGGGATATAATGTTTTCAACTGATCAACAGACAATCGATCCAATGTTCACAAATATGGTATAATAACCGAAAAATAAGTCCAGTATATGGCCCGGTTAAGGCACTCGACTCGCAATCTGAGGGTCGCGGGTTCGAATCCCCGTCACACCAAACATGCTCGCCCTTTCAGCCGTGGGGGCGTTATTATGTGACGGTCAATCCCTCTATTCGTTGGTAAAGAGTAGCTCAAGAGTTGGCGGTGTTGATTAAATGCCTTCTCTCTAGTCTATCACTTCTGAATTAGGGACGGCGTAACGTATTCAATGAGCATTGCGCAAAATTCAACAAAAAAACAATTTTTTATTGAATTAGGTAAATCTATTTTCATCCCCTCCTTTTTTAAACGTTTTCCTAAATAAACAATTTTTATTTGAAATAAAAAAAACATTTCTTTAAATAATATCTCCTGCTCACTTTCACGGGTTTATGTTTGAGATAACGCTTGAATATGGGTACGAATTCATCTTTAATTTCATATTTAATCAACGTATCTTTACTTATTTCACACTATAAACGCCAGTGACGTACTTAAGTCTGCTGTATAGGATTATCCCAAACTTCTTTACATTTAAATAATTTTTCATTCATTCTAATTTATTGCGTGTTTTGCTTAATAATTTGCCCCCTAGTGGCTCAGCAGTATGTCCACAGCACAGATAGTCCGTTGTGTAGCTTTGCGCTTGACTACAAACAAACAACTAAACATTAATATTTAAATTTTTTACAGTTTTAAGATACTTAAAATCGTATGCAAGAAAAATTAAGCTTATCGTCCAATGGATAAATAAATTGCCACGTTAAAATATTTAGATAAAGGTAATTCACTTGTTAAATACAGCCAGGATAATATGCCTTGTTACGTTCTTTTCTGATATCATCACGTTTCAAGTTCTAGCAATTTTAATATGGGTGAATTCAGTGAGATAGATATATCACACTTCTTCCAATACACCTAAAGAAAAGCAACTAACTTATTTCAAAAGACAAGGTAATAAATGTATAATTATTTACATATTGACTTTGTTTGAATTTCTCGCAAAGCTAATCGAGGGCTATCTGCGCTACCCGTCATAAACTTAGTAGTGAGGAAAGATGGCTAGTCAATAACACTCACTGCTAAGTCTTGGGCTTCTCTAATTGAATAGTGGGATTGACCATTACATTATAATGCCTCCATAGCTCAAAGGCAAGCATGTTTGGTAATGGTATTCGAACCCCCGACCTGCAGATTACGAGTCGAGCGCCCTGACCGTGATGTCCCAAAATAGAAGGCTGTCTTTTCTGTCGGCGATTTCACTTCTCTCTCTTTCGCTAGTCCAATACACTCACCGCAGTCTTATGCTTCTTGTCTTATCTTAGCAACTGTGTTTATGATTTAGTTCTGTGTGTAAATAAAGATCACTGTATATCTTTCGTGTTTCGATTCTTTCTTTCAAACGAACTCAGAGTTCGGAGAGTTAATCAGACACTTACACACACACACACACTTTGAAATTTGGTATTCTTAGAGCCTCCAGCTAGCAGGGACCAACCGACTTCACTGTAGATAATCCGAGTACCAGGGAATACTACATTGTTTACTGTGAAGGTTCTGTTTTAATCAGAACTGTGGGCTTTGTATTGACATAGAAACGCTGTAGGCTTATTGTGTTATCTATTCGTTTTTATTTCGTTTATTTATGTGGAGATTGATAAAAAAACAAATGTTACCAAAGCAGTTGGAGCAAACGTTATCCTTTTCGTTCTTTCCTATACAAGCTAAATTAGGGAAAAAGTGTGGCTTTGTAGCTTTGTGAATATAAGTATCAATGTGGGTCCTACAACTAAGATAACTACATTTCAAAGATCCATTCTATTACTCTCATATCTCTCTGTTTTCCGTATTCCACGCGTTTAGTTTTGCAGTCTGAAAAATATTTGAACATTATTCAAGGGAAAGAGATACTACTGAAATATGCTCTTTTTTTTTAGCCACTGCATAGCGGCTCATAGAATGGTTCTGAGTCTGTTTGTTTTTATTTATTTATTTCAAGTACAAACTTTTAGTTCATAGATCCTAATTACAGTTTTGGACTCAGGAGGTCAAACCTTTACGATTGGTGTATTTGACCACGCCCAAGGTCTCATGGATTAATTTGTTCGAAATCTGCCCAAAATAATTTCAATTTGAGGGTAAGCTGGTAGAGATCCTGATGAGTAATAAAATCGAATTGGATAAACACGCGTCCCACGCTTGATATTGCTGGCGCACAAAAATATAGCTAACAAAAAGGAAAAAGGTCTCGTAGAGTAATTTACTCTAATCCTGCCTAAAAGAATTGCAAGTGCCGCGGCTATTGAGGATTCCATTTTGTTTCATTACATGTTAAAATCAATTTAAATTGTGGGTAATCTAGTTATCTATCAATGTCTCTTTAGCCATATATATATATATATCTATAATAATAAAAGGTGTGTCTGTGTGACCGCCATAGCTCCAAGAGGAAAGAACCTAGATACCTGAAATTTTGCACCCATACTAAGTAGGCCCTGAGGGTGTGCACCTGAGTATTATTACTTATCCACGTTCGTGCGCGCATCTTTTTAATGAGGCAAGCTAGCGAAAAACCACATAGAAAAGAAGTGTTTCCATATATAACAAATAGAAATAACAGACAGACAGAAACGCACGTGTGTGCACGCATGCGCATGTTTTTAATGAGGCAAGCTAGTGAAAACCCACATAGAAAAGAAGTGGTTCCTTATATAGCAACTTCTAATATATAGAAAAGTCGGTGTGTTTTGGTAACAATGCGTTCTAACAATGGCTTTTAGGTCATGGTGCTTAGCAACAAAAGTATATAACCTAATATTGTTATTAGTCTATTTACTAAAAGTATAAAATGAAATGTATAAACTACAAAATTGAAAAATATTTGTTGATTTCTTAATTTAGAGTGTCCGATTTAAGTTTAAAATAAGATCGATATTTTTACTTGCATGATTAATTTTATGCACTTGGCTCTAGGCTAAGTTATCTCACACTATGTCTTTACTTTAGGCTTATTTATTAAGTTCTTTAAATCATACCAACATTCACTACACTTAAAAGGTTTCATGACAACACCCTTCACGGTCCTCTTGCACCTCTGTCACTAAAATCATAAGGTGCAGACATTAAACGAACTATTTTATCTGGATAAATGCATTTTGGCTTTTATGATTTCTCTTATTTCGAGAAATTAAGCGTGACGCGACGCGACACACAATGGCTTTCATATAAGTTAGATAACGTGACATATAGTGGCATATATAATTATCTATAATATTTTTTTTATTATCGTACCTTTACGACTTTTCTATGTTTCTAGGAAATAGAAATATGTTTAAAAGATTTTTGACTGTTCTTCCACGCTAAAATAGGTTCAGAATACACACACTGAAACAGTCATCTAGGATATACATCAACCTAATAACCCGAGTGAAGCCGGGTACTTTCACTACTATATATGTATACATATATATATGTGTGTGTGTGTGTGTGTGGTGTTTCAATTGCTGTTATCTTAAAAAGTTCGTCTTGGTATGTTCTACAAATTTATACGGTAATATGATTATTTCATTATCCGTTTAATTATTTCATCAACAGATGGCGCTGGGAAAATACTAACGAAGTGTACTATCCTTGAATTAATGGAAAATATTCAGGGCTGCAAAAAACCGAAGTCTACGAAGTCATATTTTAACTCATTTTGCGTATGCTTTGTCTTACCAACAGAAATACTGTCATGTATGTAATATGTGTTTGTTGAATAAAACCAAATTTTTGTCTGGGCTATTCTTAGTATGTCATACGTATTATCATTTAGTGATAATTTAGTGGAAACGTTTTAATACTGTTATGTCTCTGATCGTTTGTTAATTTTCCGTAAAAATTCTTTCCGAAGAAACTTTAGCGATAAGAGTCCTTTTTTTAAATAAAACTAGTTTATTCTTTCTCAATTCAACTTTGCAATACACTTAATTTCCACAGTCACGCTATAACAAACGCTATAATTCACAACGAATTACTCACGCGCTCGACTCAATTGTCCGTCTCTATCTCTGTCTGCAATTCAATTATATTGTTGCCGTCACTTCTTGACGGTCTTATATACAAGAATACCGCTCATCCAGTAAACACTGGAGGCTTCACGAAGGGACATGAATTTTCTAGAAGCTCATGACGTGTTCCTAGCGTCACGTGACTTCCGCTGTCGTAACAATACTAATACTTGTTACGAAAGCATTAACATTTATGTCCTCTCGTTAGTATAATCCCCCAGTAACACAGCGGTATGTTTGAAGACTTATAACGGAGTTTCGATACCCGTGGTGAACAGAGTACCGATAGCCCTTCGAGCAGATTTGTGCTTAACTACAAACGAATTAAAACTTAGTATGAATTGTAAAAAATATATATTCAAATTTGCTTAATATACTTCAATCCATTAATATTCATTTAAATGCTAAATACAAAATAAACAGATTTAACTAGGAGCTACAAGTTTAAATATCAGTGAAATAAAAATAATGTTCATATAATTTTAAATTATAATCCACTAGGGGTGGGGGAGAAGTTCAGGTTTAATTTCTTATTATGTTGTTATATTTTGCCCAAATATTTTAATATTGAATTGGTATAACAATGTTGTGTACTTATTATATTATCTATTCGTATTTTATGTGTTAAGTAATGTATCAGTTAGAAAGACCCGATAGTTTCATTGTCTTGTGATAAAACTAATGCAAAAATATTGAATCAGACTGGATCTATTGTTATGGTTTAAAGGTCACAAAAACGAAAATGATTTATTCCCACGTTATAACAAATTTACAACCTGGGCTGCATCATAGGATTTAGCCTAACTTCACAAGATTATTATCATTGCTATGGTGACCGATTAACTTTCGTACTTACATTATAAAATCGTGTAATTAATATGACCACCTAGCACCCATAGCCCTAAACAACGAAGAACTCTATCATTTTGTTAAGATATTTATCAAGTTTCCACGACAAGATGTTACAGTTAAAACATGTTCTAACTTCTCGATATTTACTTATTTGTTTAGATTTCATAATATAAGAAAAAAGAGGAAAATGCTGGTATTAACACAGATGAAACTCGGTGAAAGTCGATCCTATTTAATGTCAATAAGTTTGACTTTGACACCAGGAGCCACCACAAGAGTGATATATCTTCACACTAATGATATACTAGAATCGCAATTTGGATAGACTTAAATCCATTGACCCTGGCCTGATGGTTTGAAGCACTCCATTTGCAATCTACTGATTGCGAGGTCGAAACCCTTCGCCGAATATGCCATTTCAGCCATCAGTGCGTTATAAGAACGACGGCCAATTACCATTAATCGTTGATAAAAGAGTAGCAAAAAAAGTCGAATGGTGTTGACTTCCCTCTATTCCATCATTTTAAAATTATGGACGGCTAGTACAAATAGTCCTCGAGTAGCTTTTAGCGAAAATTCAGCAAACAAATGAATTTAAATCAATCAAAAAATAATAATACAAAAAGATCACATTGAAAATGGCCTTGACCATATTTTAATTTATGTTTAGGAACTTAAAACTATTTTCAAAGAATTACTATACATTATACTGTCTTTTTTATTATATATGTTTTGTATAATTTTTTTTGTACTATAACAACTGTATTAAAGTACACTTATTTATCAATTATTTTATGAATTAATCACGTTCCATAATTTCTTCTTAATTCATTTACATAACAAAAGTATTAATGCTCCTACAAATAATCACCATTACAAGTATTCTTTAGCATCAACCTCTGGTCTAAAATTGAACGAATCAATAAAAAATAGCCAAACAACAGAAAGCATAGGACGCGTTTCTCAATCTTGTTATTGTTTTATTTTAGTTTTATTTTTTCCATTTTCGCGCAAATCTACATAAGAGCTATCTGAGCATAAAGTCCCTAATTTTGAACTAACAGACCAAAGAAACGACAGCTACTCAACAGCACTAATTGTCAACTCTTGTATGACCGGATAGTGGAATTTCTCAGTGGCTTAAACAAACCCGAAGTACGGAATGCAATTTTGCGGTAACGGAACGACAACGGTGAATCTTTCCGGGATGCACAGTATGGTCACACTAACCACTAATAAAATAAACTTTTCTCAAGACACTCTCATATGTAATGACTTAGCTAATATGGTGAAACATCTAGAAAATTGCATTGTACAAAGATTGAGAAACATGTTTTGTTTGGCTGATTAATCTTAAGAATGTCTTTAATGGGAAAACTTTAGGCCTTTCGTTAATACCAAAACTCTTCAGTTGGGATAGATATGATGACAAACAAAAGACGACCAAAAAAAAAGTTATTTTTGTGTAGTATAAAATATTTAACGTTACAATCTGAAAGCCGGCGAAGCAATAGGACTAACTAGACCCAGTGTTAATGATAAAAATATGGCTTCCACTACAACTTAAGTTCTACAAATACAGTGTAAACAATGGGACTAACTAGATCCAGTGTTGATGATAAAAATATGGCCTCCACTACAACAATGGGACTAACTAGATCTAGTGTTAATGATAAAAATATGGCCTCCACTACAACTTAAGTTCTACAACTACGGTGTTACGTAAACAAGTCCACCTAATGCTGACCGATAGATAGGCATGACTTCAACAACAACAACAGCAAAAAACACGCTAAACTGTCACATATTTGCTAAATTTTTCTTATACCTACGACGTGTGTGAGTTTCGTCATGATTAATTCACTGACACACAAATTCGATATTCACAAAATTGAAGTAACAGACCAACCGACCAACAAACTCACTAATTCAATAATAAAATCAACTAACTGTACTTTAATTTTTCACTTTTCCAACTGTTGATAGTTGGTACGATCATTGTCAAGTACACAAAGCTTAAGCTATAACTGTGGTTTCTTCAAATAACTCAACTTTAAATGGTGTTTTTATATCGCTCAAATTGTTTATAAGTGACTCACGCGCTAATGCCAATCGAAATATCACACAGGGTTTTCTGTCGTTTTTTTCTTTCAGGAACGAGCGATGTTTCAATTGGCGCTCACTTAACGTCGAAACGCTCTTTAGTACAAAAAATAATAAAAATGCAATGATATAAAATGGTAAGAAAAAACGCCCCATAATAATAACGTGTTCAATTGATTGGTGGAGTTGCATGTTATTGGAGTTTATCGCCAACTCTTCTATCCAATAGTAGAATTCCGTCGCGAACATTTGTCAGTGAACAGCCCGGGTAGCGACGTAGTGCAGGTCCTAATTCCAAACCACCGACTGATAAAACAAACATTATTACTTTAATATTATTCATTACTGTGTATCTTTTTATTGTTTAATACTTTGTGACTGAACGTTAAGCCTGAGGGCTGATACAGCTAAAAACCGAGTTTTGATGCTTGTGATGGAACTGGTGTGCACAACATAAACAGCTCATTGTTTAGCTATGTGCTTAAAAACAAGCGAATAAACAATACTTTTTTAATAGAAAAAAAACATCTGCAGTCTAGTGCGATATTTATTTGACCTATTACACATTTTTACGAATTTGGTATATGGTCAAAACAAAAAGTCGTTTATAAGTGATTTTTTTTACAACGACTAAAAAATATCATACAAACGCATATAAAGTTTATATTTCTTGATAACTCCTATACACAGTGTAAAAACATGTTACGAATTTTTTTCTGAATTAAATTCCATTTCTCCTAGCATCATAGTTTTTCTAGTGAATTAACAGGTTAACACGATGCTTTGTCAGATGTCACGCTTTCAACTGAATTTTCATGGCCAGGTGGATAAGGCGGTCGACTCGCAATCTGAGGGTCGCGGGTTCGAATCCCCGTCACACCA